AGCATTAATATAAAATACCCAGCACTACTACTGTGATTTTTGGGTCAAAGTGTTCTTGAGCAAGGCACTATATCAATGCCCATCTCAAGTAAGCAGGTCAGTTGGTCCCACACGTGTAGTGTTAGGGAAAGGGCTTACACGATATGACTGCAAATACGGCAGTGCTTATCAGGTAAAAAGTAATGTACAAGAATGAAACTAAGAGTATAAAATCGTTTAGGTGATTCTAAGTGAAAATGATCACATAGTTCAGCCTTCATTTAATTACTTGGAAAAGAGAAAAAGGACTGTAAATTACATGTCAAATGAAAAATATTCAATGCAGATTGTCATTTCAGATACCTGAAGTCAATAGAGACAGTGGTCTTTTCCACTGTACTGCACCTTTGATTTAATGAGTGGTATTGCTTCTTCTGCACTCTTAACCACAACAGAGAGGTTACCAATGAGCTGTTTACTACCTTTAAGATGTTAACTCGGTGTGGGTCTGATGAATGTTTTGCACAGTCAATTCTGGATGCATGCCAGAGTTCTGTTGCTCGTACTGCAGTGTTAACTGTTCAAATATTAGTGCCAATGTTGTTTCAGGTGTGGATACCTTAGTGTGTGCCAAAACCATGTTTCCATGGAAACAGGCCAGCCAAAGTGTAAAAAGCTGCCATAGTGTCATATAAAGTCATTAAACTCTGATATGATTAATATTGCTCTGCATATTGAAATTAGCAAAAGCAGCTGTGACACTGTTTGTAGTTTATAGATAACTTACAGAAACATGAACAACTTATCATAATCATCATCATTTCTTGTTTAGAAATGGTATTTGGAGTATTTGGGAGTGTCGTGGGAGCTTGGCAGCTTTGGTCAAGCGCTGTGTACTGACGTACTGAATGTTTACTTGAGTCTACCTCATAACTGATTGTGTGGTACGCTCGCTTTCTGTTCAATCTTGAATATATATTTGAATATTTTATCAATTGTACACTTTAATTAAGGAAAAACATACAGTATCTCTCTTCTGCAATGTCAAAGTATGTAACAGCAAAATTTTACTCAACCCATTTCAAGTAATATTAATAACATAGTTCATTATTAATGTTAGAGCAGAGATTGGCCAGAGTAGCCTGAAGAATGTTCAAGGGTGAAACCTTCCATAAAGAAGCTTTAAGGCTTCATGTGACTTTCTTTTTTTTTGGGTTAAGAGAAACATTTCAAACTGTTTGAGTGTTGTCTTTTCCAGGACATTGGCAAGTGCAGGAAAAGAACTCAAAGATAACTTCCTGCAAGCCCTGGCAGAGCGAGAGGAGGCCAACCGCAGTGGGAAAATGACTGTGAGTACATTATTACAGCACTCCAATTGCTACGTAATGGGATTCCCCTCAAATATTTCTGCAATTCCATTAGGATGGGAACAAAATCCATACTGTGTCAAGTTGACTGGAAATGCCCCCCCGTCCCTCCCCAAATACCATGAAAGCCAGCTGCCTGCCCCTCATCCATCCATAAAACCACGTTTACCAAACTGCAACTACCTTGCCCTAGGTGTGCGTCTCAGATTAAACCACTAAGATGAATTCTACAAAACAGGGGCCTCCTTTGAGTGTCTCAATATGAGCATTATTTAAACGGTTTAACTTTTGAATTGTTGAGAACTAGCACCTGTTATTCTTTATAACCACAGTGACATAAATAGTATTAACACTGATTAAGTGCTTAATTTACTTGTATGAAAACACATTTTCTTTTTGTTCTTGAAACTGTAAATATAGACCATGAAGTTAAATGAAGAGAACACTAAGGCACAATTGATTGTTTGTACATCAAATGGCTGAAAAAAGTGACTGAAGTGTGATGTAAATTTCCTTATTTGTCAGTGTCTGCGGTTAGCTGTATGCACGTATGCAGGAGGTGTGCACACGTGTGCTTTTGCCAGACCCCCAATGTAGTACAGAGACACTATTGGAATATATATCCTCTCCTGTAAGAGGTCTAAGGGTCAGGTGTATTCTTAGTGGATGCCTTGGTAACTCATCCCTGGCTACAAAATATGTCTTTTGGGATGTGAAGCCTTACCTTAAAGAGTCGTACGTTGGTCCAGGTGTTAGAGAAGTATCAACTAGACATAGTTGGGGTCACGTCTGTGTACAGCATTTTCCATAGTTGCCAAGCTTGAGAGGTGCCAAGTAGATGCCTGACTGAGAGCTAAGAGATAAGTACTCCCTTGCCCATCTCTCTGACAGAGATCACTGAGGTTATCTAAAAGCTTTGCAGTGGTAAGGTGACAGGGATGTATGAGCTTTGAAATGCTGAAGGCTCTGAGTCCTGTTGGGCTGTTGTAGTTGGCATACTTCTTTAATGTTGCACAGAGGTGGGGGACAGGGCTGGAACATGGGGGTTTGCACAGTGCCTCTACACTTGCTTTGTGTACGAGGACAAGTCTTAGGACAATATAGGGGTTTCTTGTGTGGCTTACAGGAGGGAAAATAGAGTGCACGGGCCTCGTCACAGATTCTGTGATTAGAGAGAACCAGGTTGGCTACATCACACTGCGACCTCCAGCACACACTCAGGCAGCTTGCAACACAGTGTGAAGCAGTTGGAATGAAAGTCCACACCTCCTCAAGTCTGAGGTACTCTGCTAGAGCATGGTCAGAAAAGGCCTCCTTTGGTTTGGGAGCGAGTTTCTGCCGTAAGCTGATAAGTCAGCCCTACAGTGAGGTGTTCATGGACAAAGCCTGCATGCTTAATTAAACTGTGATGCACCAGGGAGAAATTGTAACTCGGACCATGAGGCTGGCTAATTTTACTACAAACATTACTTTAAAAACAATTCTCTCTCTACTTACAGTATGTGATGAATGGAATGTGTACCATTTGAGTGACTGTAGCATTGCAGCATGTGTAGCATTGTTCTGCAGGGAGTTCTTGTGTTGACAGACTTCAAATGATTCACTTACAAGATGCTGGAGTAGAAAAAAAGGAGTTTTGTTTGACCCCTGTTTACCTGCCCCTGTGGGCTTTGCAATTATGAGATCACATGAAATGCATGGAGGGGAGTAGAGGTAGTAACACCAGAAGTTTTCCCACTGGATGTTCACTGTGTAAACAGTACCATACAAAAGCCCCTTCCTTTCTTTCAGCCCTTCTTAACTAAAGCCATTTGAGAGATATAACTTGAGGTTTTCCTTTCAAAGAAACCTCCAGTGAAAAATTAAGTGATTTAAAATATCTCTTCCTGTATACAGAAAGGAGAGCCAGAATAAAAACAAGCAAAATATCATGTTGTGTATTACCAACATTGTTTTGCTGACGTTATATTTTCCCACCTCTTCTTAGTTTTCATCTCTCAAGAGCTTCCTTTGCAGAAAAATTGGATCGAGAAGATGTTTATTTTCCTTTCAGCTCCGCTCTGTTTAAAATTGAACCCACATTTGTGCGCTTTATACCTCTGGTCTTTGAAACTGTTTAAGAAACAGGTAATCTTTATACAGTTTGACAAGGCTTGACCTCATTGGTATATTTACATTAGACAGATGTATTCCAGACAACATTTGCACATGTGTGGACATACAGTAAAACATGTGTTGTACCTCGTTTTATACATACTTTACATTCATATTGTACTGTATGAAAATTTTTAATATTGTAATTGAAATTTGCTGGTATGCATTGATCCTTCCATTGAATATTTATACATATGTTACACATGCTGTTTTTTTTGTACTAACATCTGCTAAAAATTGCAAACAATTATGCAGCACGAAGAAGTTGGATGTGGTTTGGATTTCCTCCCTCTGCTCTCTGTTGCACCGAAAATCCTCTTTATGAAAGTGTCATGTTACCCATGTTAATCTTTGATAAGGTTCAATAATAAGACCACCCAGCGTACGTAAGGTATCTTTCACACTGTTCAACGTGAGCTTTCCGAGGGCCTTTTCAAACACACGCTCAAGCTCCTATCATCCACGCTCCTCCAACCTGAGGATCAGTCGCACTAACACATTCCAGGTCCTCATATCTACACTCTAATGCAAAGCAGTCCTTGTCCTGTGAGTGTTTTTTGTTATTTTTTCCATTTTTTTTATGTTTGCACATTATTGTTATTTTAGGAATTTAAGTCATTCCATCGTACATACTTTAACAGACACACTAGCTTTGTAAAAACGTATCAGCCAGTCTTTCTTCATGATCAAATCTGCGTGATAAGTAGGTTTTTAACCTATTTAAAATTCTGCCTTTTTAATTGTAAACTCAACCAATGTTTGCTGATACTGTCTCAAGTATCACCTACTTGATTTATCATAAAGGGTCTCATCTTTGTTGTGAAGGACTGTTAGGACACAAGAAATCATCCATTTTAGGTGCACAATGGGAGAGGAAAAGAAAATACTTAAAGCTGACTTATTGGCCTTCCTTTAAATGGATGACATATTCATTGTCATCTTCCGTCTCATTCGTCAGTGGGGGTCACTCTTTTGTCCTCCTTTCATGTCAAGCTCAGCCTTTCAAGTCAGGTTGAAATTACACCTGTCAGTTAATACACTTGTCAGGTTATTCTGTCTCGTCTGTCCTGCCCCATGTGGCATTACAAAAGATTGATAGCAGACATGACTCTTGATGAACAGAGCTCATCTTCCCTTTGTGAAAGGTCCCTGCCCCCCTCCTGTTTCCCTTTGTTTGGGATATAAGCAAAGGTGTACTGGGAATTGAAGCCCATTTTGCATTTAAAACAGTAAATCATTTTTTTTTCTTCTCATCAGCACTGTTTTCGGTCTACAGAAGGAGCCCTCCAGTATCATTCTGATCAGCTGAACTTGTAAATCTTGCAGTGCCTTGCCTTCATTGTAAATTTACTTCCCTGGCCCTGTTGCGAAAGCTGCTTCACTGCCAAAAGTCACACACAAACAAAAGCTGCACCTGGGCAGCTTTGGCTTTATTTGCACTGGGTAAGAAGTTAAGTTTTTTTATCAAATCCAGGTCACACCTGCACAGGATGCCTGAGGGTGTCCATTGTTGGGAGGTTCACATCTGAAACTGAAGGTGTGCTGCCACCACCCACCCTGCTCCCTGTTTGTTTTCAGGTGTTTGTTGAGAGGCTCTGATGGTATCAATGCGAAATTGCAACACATAACGCTAATGTTAAAGTAATGAATAGGCACAGTTAAAGGCAGTTATACATGAAGCAGTGAATATGCAGAGTCCGTGCCAGTCCAACGCATTTAGCCTATAAATAAAAAAATTAAATAAAATAGAAAATCTGCACTAGGATTCAGATCACAATACAGATAGTGACAAATTATCATGGGATACATTTTTATCCATATATCTTTACTTTTCTTCAAGTGCAGTAATTCATGAGAAAATAGCCAAAATGTTCAGAAATGCAACCTTTCTTGCATTGAGATGATAAAATTCTAAAATCTAAAAATCTAAATGTGCATCAGAACTTACTTTGTTGATCCATGGCTTCATTTAATTTAAATCTATAGGCCTATTTTTGACTAACAGTTTAATGGGATATAAAGCATAAACCTGTTTGCAGATATATTAAGCAATTACATCATAATGCTTTGTTATTTAAATGAATATTACTGTCGATGTTAAAATGAAAACGTGTGCTATCAACCAAACCACAATAATTTAACATTCATTAGACTTATAGTATGAGATGGTATCATTTCATGAACACATTATTCACGAGGCACTGCAAAGAAATGATATGACATGATGATTGATGATGATAATGTATTTCACCTTCATCAAATGTTGTTTAATGTTGAATGATTGAATGATAAAGAACATAATGTACCCTGAAAGTAAATATTCACAGCCCTTAAGGAGCTAATAAATATGTTTCTTATTTTATCTGTAAAGCCATCACTCACCCAGTAACAAGAGGGAACTTCATTAAAACAATGCACCTGGCAAAGCGCCTTGCCATGAAGAGTGAATGAGTATGTTTGCTCTCGGCTCATTCCCAAGCAGTAGGGCTATCACAGAAGTCAGATTGTTGTTTCAGTAGTAAAGAACAATCTGAGGGGAGTCGCATTCAACCTGTCAAAGTTTGTGAACAAGAAAGAAATGATGAAAAAAAAAAAAACTGGTGCTCAGTTCATGAGCTCAGTATTTTAGCATCTAACTCAGTTTGTGTCCAATATTCACTTTCAGCATTACTTATTTTAAATACATTCTATAATAAGCCAATAGTTAACCTGGCCAAGAATTCAAATTCGACAATTTGAATAGTTCACCACGGGACAATGGTAGACCCATGTGGACGTTTTAAACTTAACTCATATATTATTCTGGACCTTTAACTATCAGATATTTC